ACAAGTGCATGAATTACGTCAGCGAGCAAAATAACTTTTGCAGAGAACACATCATTCCTCAGTGGGCTGGTCACGAAGCTCAAGGTTTTGAAGTTCTCAGTGGGCGCGGCTTTCCCGGAAAAGAGACTCCGATTGTAACAGTTGTGTGGGTTTGTCAACGCTACACTTGTGACTGTCGGACACTTCAGTTCAGCAGGACGGTTGAACTGTACAGTTGCAACACTGTTTTCACTGACAGTTACTCCTGGTTTCTACCCTGAAGCCATATATTGTCGTCCTCTAGACAGTGAGAGCTTTGGAGCCAGTAGTAGCTTGTTAGAGCAAGGAGGCTTTTCTCTTTTAAACCCCCTTAGAGTCTTAGAGACAGAAAGAAGACTTCTGGCGATCGGGAGACTCTACGTTAAGCCCAGCCGTCTGTACAGAGTCTAGGTTGAAATCACGCATAGTCGGTAAGTTCGTTCGCTTTAATTTGCGCTCTGCAATGTGTATTTCACCCTAGTCTCCTTCGCAGTCTTGTTGGGCGTCGGCGTTATTTTTTTCTTTGAGCGACGCGAGTAATATGCCGTCGCGAGGGAGTTTTTGCCGCGGAGAGAAGGAGCGCGAATCCTTCTCTCCGCGGCAAAAACTCCCTCGGCAGCAAATCGTCCCTCGCGGCGGCATATTACTCGCATCGCTCAAAAAAAAATACCGCCAACGCCCAACAAGACTGCGAAGGAGGCTAATTTCACCCGTCCTTGTATCTTTTTCCGATTGAATGTGTAACTTTTACAAGCGAATTCGAAACGCACTGATTTTTTTACGACGAAATTTACCGTCTCAGTAACCTTTATCGTGTTCATTATAGGCGGTCTGTGCTGTTTTGATTAGCGGGGTAATAGTTTAGTCGTCCTGGCAGGAATGGATTTTTGCCCTTGGCAGTGTCGAATGGCGTCTAAGGTTAAGGCGATAAAAGTTGTTCGCGGGTTTTGCCTGTGATCCGTAATCAAGTTCATTGGCTAGCTTTGCTCTAGATAGCTGTGCACGTAAGGCTACAGCATGTAATTTTCATGGATGACATCAGCGCGTGCATTAATTTTCGCCTGATTTTGGAAAAAAACAAGAAATTTTGTCGCCTACTGACAGTGGTCAACAGGCCGAAAATGGGCAAAGATGTCTGTTGCCGGATGGCAGATAAATATGAAGAGAGGAGACAAGAAAGGGCTCTGATCTAATGTTTTGTTTCTTACTTCGATGCAGTGATATGTGATTCTGGCTGTGTACATGTGATGTTCCTACTGAATCAAAACCATTTGTACAATGAGTGAGTCAAAATTTTAAATTGTAGGAACCTTGTTTTTTTGGGCCCGCCTTGTTTTTTTTTCGCCCGCTCGCATTAGATTTGGAGTCTGCGGAGGATGCCATCCATAAAATTTACGTGCTGTGGCCTAACAGGGTGTAACACCGAAGGGTTGAAGCTATGTTTGTACTTAACTTTTTATTTCTTTCCACGAATCCCATTAAACAAGGAAGAAATGTCATCATTTGAAGTGCCGGTCTCTGGCCTGTTTTCCAGCTTTGGTCCACTGAATTTCATTGGCTAGCATTGCTCTATATAACTGTGCACGTAACACGCTGTTACACAGAACTGTGAAACTATAGTTGTATAGTATATTCTATTTCTCTCCACGATTCCCATAAAATAAATCGCAAGGAAGAAATGTCACATCATTTGAAGTGCCGGTCCCTGGCCTGTTTTCCAGCTTTGGTCCACTGAACTCCAAGCATACATGTGTATGACCGTCTTGATTTGACTAGCAAACCTGTAGACCTTGGGAAACCACACTGTTGAGTCCTTTGCCCTTGACCGTGAGGCCAAGATCAAGAACTCTAGACTTTCTCAACAATACCGCGAGATGCAAAAGCAAGCCGTGCTTTTAGCAGACCGTAGATAGGTAAAATACAGGCAGCTTTGACATTGAGGTCCAGTAGAGATGAAAGTGTCTATTTACCATCCTGTCAATAACAGAAAATTTGCACTATTGACAGGACCATCCTGTCAATAGTACAAATAGTGCAAAAACAGATAATTTTTTCACTATTGACAGGATAATAACAGAAGAAATCCACTATTGACAGGATGGTCCTGTCAATATCCATAAGCTAGAAATTTTACCACAGCAAAACCAGGGGTGCCAGAGTATACAGTGCAATCTTACGGAATACAGTGCAATCGTATTAGTATACAGTGCAATTTTACGGAATACAGTGCAATCGTATTAGTATACAGCGCAACTTTACGGAATACAGTGCAATCGTATTAGAATACAGTGCAATTTTACGGAATACAGTGCAATCGTATTAGAATACAGTGCAATTTTACTAGTATACAGTGCAATTTTACGGAATACAGTGCAATTTTACTAATGACGTTAAATCACGTGACTTGGACTCTGCTTTCCTTGAGTTTCAAGATGGTGGACGCCGCTGACTCACATATTTCTGTCTTTTTCGAGCGAATTCGAAATCCCTGTGCAGTAACATGCCCTGTGTGTAGTATGTAGTGATTTGACTAAAGGTCTATCTACGAGAACGGTCAAAATTCGCTCGAAAAACACAGAAATATGTGAGTACGCTCCGTCAGCGGCGTCCCAGGAAAGCCGGGCCCAGGTTACGTCATTCAACGTCATTAGTAAAATTGCACTGTATTCCGTAAAATTGCACTGTATACTAGTAAAATTGTACTGTATTCCGTAAAACTGTATACTATATAGTAAAATTGCACTGTATACTCTGGCACCCCTGAAAACGGCGTGTCTATTACGACAATTACGTAATGTCGTAAAACCCATCCCCAGGCCATTGTTTGCGGCAGAAGAACCCGAGACGGGGCAAACAAATTTGGGCAACACAAACGTCCAGTATCGCCCTCCCTCCGGCTTTATACAACACGGCTTTTGTATGCATGCTCTTTCAATAGACACGTTGTACAAGTGTGACAGGTCAGCAATAGGATCCTATTCAGCAAAGTCAAAGCTTGATTGTGTAGACTCAATGCGCCCCGTTTTCTCACCTCATATCGGACATTTGTATTACACAACGCCCCCGTCAACTTGCAAGGACACCGCTTGTCGACTTTCAGTCACACCGCTAGCGCTAGTGGCAAGTTTGGATACGTGGGCAAACTTTTCTCAGAGTGCCTTTTGAAGAACGTTTCGCCTTTCGTCAGTGATACGGTCCATTCTACTAGCCTCTCCACAATATATGCGGGTGAGCGTACTTTAACTATTTCTTCTGCGAATCAAATCTAACAGTAACAGTCGGGAGGGTGCACCACATTACAGGTGTTCCTATAATCACCTAACTAAGAGAAGGATAAGTTTTAAAGACATCTAAGCTTGTTGCAACAGGTCCAAGAATAGAGAAACAGCTTTTAATATAGCCTCCATAGCATGTCAAAAACTTTGGGGGTTTGGGGGGTCTTCAGGGTCTTTGGGAGCTTTTTATGTGCTATTTTCTGATTGCATATAGACAACATAGTCGGCCTGATTGAATTATCCCCGTTTGTTTTAGAACTGGGCTATGACAAGACAGCCGAAGACCACCAAACCCCCAGATCTATAAGCCTGCTACGGAGGCTACTTTTAATAGACATCTTTATTTGTATAGTTACCCAGTTCGTATCCTTTGCGAACGCAATTCCCCAAACAATATCATGTTATATCCTGAACATTACCTTAAAGCTAGCCTTTTCGCTGTGGAGTTCTCAAGAGGATGCAACTTATACGTCTAGCGGTTTTCCTTGGTGTTGTTTTAGATTTGGATGTTTATTTTCTCGGTACACTGTTGATAGTAGCCGTTTTGGTCTAGTATGTTTTCTTTTAATTGTGGCCCTGATGCGAGGTCAAATACAGGTGTACCTGGCCGCTATGTTATTAAAACAGGTGCACTGGACAGAATACCTTCTACAAACAACTCAGCGAGTCCACTTCATGATTTGTTGATGTGTCCTTTGCTTTCTCAGGTCCGATTTGTGTTATTCTAAGCATCTATGTTCAATAACAAATGTTTATTTATCTTGTATATTGTGCAGGATTCAGTAGAAGTATTTTCTCAGCTATTTTCGTCGTTTTACGGTCAAAGTTTGAGCGGGTGAATTTTTTGACAGTACGTTTTCGAGATTTATCCTTTATGTAATCTATTTCTGACCTATCTATTTTGGCTGGTTGTAGAGTTCTTTCAGTAATATCCATAATATCCAGTAACATGCCCTGTTAAGAAGAATACTGGGCGGGAAAACTTGACGTAATTTTTTATAACTTCATCGCCAGAGTTCTCAACAAATGTATTGGCTACAACCTGACAATTTAGATAGGTTCGGCTAAATTATTGGCCTGCCATGCTAGCTGTAGTAAACATAACTGGCCTTCAATATCTCTATCAGGACAACAGTCATTAGTTTTATAACTATTAACATTACGGTTACATTCTGTTCGGATCATTGCCGTTTAGTGATAAGCAACTATCATGTTTTTTTTTTAATTTTTCATTCATCCAAGTACAGCCTTGCTTTGTTACTTGTATAGTTTACTTGATACGTGTATACATTCTTACTGAATTTGTTGTCATGTTCTGGCTGTTATGTTTGCGACAGTGTTGACATAAACCATTCATATATAGAAACTTTATTCGCAAAATCATGCCCGAAGGCTAATTGCTTTTACAATCAAGTATAATACACATTGCAATACAGTAACAGGAGACAGGTAACAACTGTCTGGAAAAAATTCTACTTCTACTACTACGCTAGCTATTATGGGGTTCAGTACCGTTTTCACCTTCGTCTTACATATGAAAAAGACATCACATTGTGTTGTAAATATTAACTAATGCTTCCTCCCGACGGATATACCACACGCACGCAGTTCTACCACTCAGGGGCTTCCCTCTGCCCAACCCAGTGCTTAACTCAGCTATGTTATCTTCCGTCAGACATCAATCGTGTCCTGTTATGTCTGTGGCAGGGTTTCTCGTGGCCATCTCAGCGGGGCCAGGTCGTGAGGGGCCCGCCAGGCGACCGAGGTGACACGGGGCTGGTCTGTGAGGGTGCTCGCCGCTGACTTCTGCAGACGCTCGGGGGCACATGGGCACATAGAGGTATGTCAGCTATGCTATCCACGCCTTTACTGTCCTTATGTTGTCCCTAACGTTTCCTGTCAGGTGCACCAGAGGCAGGCAAATCGTTCAGTAATGCAAAATATAGAAAAGTTTATTGCAAATTCGTGCCCGGAGGCTAATTGCAAATTACAAAACATAAAAGAACTTTGAAACAGAGTATAAAATAACTGAAGTCTACACGATGAAGGTAGCTGTCTAGAACTATAGCTATGTGTAAAACTATATCTGAAGGGTTTGACTTCTCTTCTGTAAACCATGGAATCGTCTGAATCATGTTTACAAAACAAGTCGGGATAATAGTTTGGAATAACTGACAGGGTGGCTTTAGAACGATGTCGACTCCTTGGATCAAAAGGACAAAGATGGATGTTTTCATTTCACAATGTCAGAAGTCAGTCTATTTTGCTAGCCCTGCATTACTTTCATTTCTGTTACAACTTTAACCACCTAAAGACATTTGAGAAGGGTAGAATTTGCCCCCCTCGGCCAGGGTGAGTTGGAAACGTTTTTAGCCAACTTTCAGCAAAGAATAGGATTATTGTAGTATATACATGATGTTTTAACGATTTCAGATTTAATAGGCTGTCGTTGCTGAAGTGGGTTGAGAGGTATATAGGGTGTCTGTGTGAGAAAACTTTGTCAAATCAAATTGGGTATCTTTTACACTGTGATAGCGGACAGCCCTACTAACCAAACACACGCAGCCTTGCCCAGATTAAGCCATGTAGTACCGCAGTATGTGACCCCGTCAGACTCAAGTACATCAGTCCACCCAGCTGTCAGCTCTGAACCTGTTCTTACACTGTAGTGATGTGTCGAAAACTCGGACGTATAGGCTTCACTATAGTATTGGCTTCACTATAGCATTGGCTTAGTATAGGCTTATCTGAGTATAGGCTTCACTATACTAGTACTGCCAGACTAACCTGTCAGACTCAAGAACATCAGCCCACCCAGCTGTCAGATCTGAACGATCCTGAACCTGTTCTTACACTGTAGTAAACTAATGTGTCGAAATTAAAACTAGAACGTATAGGCTTCAATATAGTATTGGTTTCACTATAGCATTGGCTTAGTATAGGCTTATAGTATAGGCTTCACTATACTAGTACTGCCAAACTAACCTGTTAGACTCAAGTGCATCAGTCCACCCAGCTGTCAGCTCTGAACCTGTTCTTACACTGTAGTAATGTGTCGAAAACTCGGACGTATAGGCTTCACTAATCTATAGTATTGTTCTGCGATTGATTTTCGGATTTCTTGGCGCCAGTCTCTAGCGGGAGCGGCAAACTGTTCTCTCCAGCCGACCAAACTCCCCCGGCATGCTATCTCTGTATTTGGCTGATCTCTACTTTCCAGCCGCCTCCCGAAGCCTGGTAGAGGCTAGTACCCGTTCTCTAGTATGTGGGTATTGAAGTGAACACTGAGTGACATCAAGTACCGTGTTTGTCAGTGTTATCGTCGGGATATCGGAGGTTTAACATTCCAGGTTAGTGGAAGAGTGGGACACCTTATAGTGCTACCACATGGTGAAAACATGGGCTGTAGAGTTCCTACGTACAAGTAAAATATATTTAGCTGCGTACTGTACAATGCTTCTCCGCGTTACAATTTATGACATCGGGGACCTTTTTTATGTACTAAGTACTAGAATTCATTTTAAGCAGTCGTAGCAGTTTTACTGAAGTTTGTATAGTTTTGACCACAGAGAAAGCAAAGACTCTAGATTAATGAATAGTTGCAAAGAAATTCTGACTTGAGAGGCTCGTCACTGACAGACCCCTTTTGGTACCATAACGGTCTGTCCCCGAACCCCTGAGTCTGGTGCTGTCAGCAGCTAGTGTGCTAGCACGGGGCGATCCATTCAACCGTGACATGGGGGCGGGGTGGGAGGGCTGCGCGGTACATCCCGGGGTTAAACTTCAGGGCTGTTCTCTGAGGCAAAAACTGTTACTGCCTGTGGCTATTGACAGGATCGTCCTGTCAATAGCAGAAAATATTGCACTGCTGACAGGATCGTCCTGTCAATAGCAGAAAATATTGCACTGCTGACAGGATCGTCCTGTCAATAGCAGAAAATACTGCACTGCTGACAGGATCGTCCTGTCATAGCAGAAAATATTGCACTGCTGACAGGATCGTCCTAGTTCAATTAGTAGAATAATTTG